GAAATTTGTGACAAATTGTTTGTGAAGCTTTATTTATTTATTTTTTCATTGATTTTGTTTAAGCTTTCATTTTTTGTTATTACCGCTCATTACTATTAAGAAAGTTTCTATTATATTTTATTTTATTTTTTTATATTTCTGTTTTATTTCTGTTTTTTTTCATGTTTTTCATTCTGGTTTCGTGGTAAATCCATGTTTTATCAATATCTACACATTAAAAAAAGCTTAAATCGTGTTACATAGAAGTTGCTTTTGTTTGTATAATTATGTGCATATTTCTAGAGATCTATTATCGACATTTTTGAAATACTACTAGATCTTGTCTACTCGGGTGAACATGCCTCTGCATACTTTATTAGCTAAGAATGTACACATGGCAAACTTACAGGGATTTATTACAGATATGCATTTAACGGTATATCCAAATACATAGATCTATTTGAATAAATTGTTGGCTGGTCATATGATCCCAATATTCATTTCATTTTATTGAAGATACGGATTTACAAATACAAATACTAACTACGATTAACTGACGTCCTGAGTCATCATGTGAGATACTCTATTATCACTGAATAATAGTGCAATTTTATTCATATCGATAATATTACCTTTAAAGATGTCAATGCTAGGTTCAGGCCATATATTGATCTATACATCTCGTCAAGGTTGTCTTCTAGTTGTTCATTGGTTGCCTGCAATTCACTCGCATGGCCTATTTATTGATCTCTGCATTTCGTGTAGACTGCTTGTCAGTTGTTCATTAGTTGACTGCAATTTACTATGCCTGGAAACCAAATATGGAATGCGTTACGTGACACACAGGACAATAAACAGTTCATCGAAACCCCGATTCCACACCGTAATGCGTTCCAACTCTATTCCCTTTCCTCTATTCCTACTGTCACTACTTTGTTCAGGAAGCATGCTGGTCGTGGTGCATAGTGGGTGAGACATTGTCGTGCAATTAAGTTATTATTGTTATTGCAAAGAGATTCCGTCTAGGAACATTTGAGGGTAGTAAATGGGGGAAATTCCTTGAGTAGTAATTGTAGTTTGTCATTGGAAGTACTTACCTCCTGTTACACGTTTTACCTTACATGTTGTTTTTTATTCGTAAGCCAGAAACGAAAATGTTCGAGTAGACCACCTAGCCCGGCTATCTAAATTAAAATACTAGTAATGTGGGTACAATACGTACAATACAGCTACAAACATTTTGAAATTATATTGTTTTTATTAGTGAACATAGTTCGCCCAACATTGAGTAGAAAGTCATTTACGCTCGCACTACTAAAACATGTGTTCGAGTATTGTATTTGTCAACTTTACTCACATTGGATATTCCCGGTCATGTGTTTACATGTGTACAAAACACCAGGTAATACAACAAATAATTAGAAAACACAATATAGTCAAATTAGTGAAGAATGTGCTCGTACTGTCTAGATACTCTTTAAGTCGTCGGATTCGGATAAATGTATTTTAGTAAACAAAAACTAGAACAGAACAGACGTGTTATACATGTCAGTCGTGGCCTTCCGATTTATATAAAATCCACGCATTCAATCAGCATCGTTCTGTTTAAAATACGCGTTAAAGTGACCACTTTTAGAAGGCTCCAAGCAATTTAGTTGCGGAACTTGTCGCTTAACCTACGTAAAAGATACAACATGACACTTAGCATGTAACAGCTGTTCCGTTGATAAATAAACTCAGGTAAGCTTGCCCTAATACATCTCCTTGTACTAAGAACCTACTATTACGATATTACTATATTTGGATTGCTGATATTGTTTTTCTCTAGATGCATTTATATAATAAACATTGCAAAACAAAATTAGCACAATAATACTGGGGCAACGTAACTAACGTTCTAGCCGTGACTAAAAACAAGAGTCTGTGATGCGCTAGAAAAACATACATTTAATCTACTCAGCGCGTACCACTTAGTGTATATTCAATTTACAACTGAAGGACAGTATGTACTTAAAACTAATTCTAGATGAATAAATTGATTTTACACCATGCAATTGACAATGATGAGGTCATGTAATGGAGTATTCGAATATTAACTTTTAGAAGACATTGTCGTAAAACCCTTGCCTCTTTGCGGCGCCTATGTCTATATTGTAGAATTCAGTAGCTTGCAAACGCACCAATCACAGACAACCAATCGATCTATTTGTCGAAGTAGACGATTCCTGCCCTCGTTATAAACACGTACGCTCTTTCGTCGTTTACTCATAAATATTCAAAAAATAGTTCCTGAATACTGGCTTTGTCGGAGTACCTTTGGAATGTGACAGAAAACAATACTCGGGCGTCGATGATGCGTAAGTTGTCATAAAATCACTCACCCCTTGTAACATACATTAATTCTACTTAGAATTAAACAAATGTTATTCAGTTGCGATAGTTCGTTCAACATATATACAACAAAATATAATTCATTGATAACTTTGTAATATACATGACACAACCTAAGTGAGAAACATTTTTACAAACTGGTAGAGCGTTAAAATGTTGCATATATGTATTGTCTTCTTTTACATCAATGAATGCAATTTAAAACTACAATCGGTCGGGATAGTCAGGTCTGTCTTTTGATTAACGAATGTCTTCTAATTTACCAAATGCTTATGTAAATTATCTCAATTCAAAGATTATTCATAACATGCAGTTTGAGTGTCTACTCTGAATCGGAAAGAATATAACTTACTGCCGATATGTGGACGATATCAAAACAAGCGAATTGTCGCTGAACATGATATTTGAATACGACCTCAACAAAACTAACTATATGCATTTGTCGGTCGATGACAAAAATACCTACCAGAGTTATGCTACCATTCAGAAACATTGTGAATATTACTGATTGTCGTAAACTGTTACTTTGTAGGCGAGAATATATTTCTTACGAAAAAGTTTTCTTGGGTCACTTATGATGTTAAATATATTTAAAATATTTCTTTAACCGTCGGTGTTCTCCACGGAAATCCTAATCTGAATTGTCTCAGAAATGACTCAATAAAACTGTATTTTCGAGTACACCGGTTAGATCATGATAGATTTATGCTAAAGTTATTTGGGATAAGAACGTTTAAAATATTCATTTGATATTTGATATAACTAAACCACGTAAACACTCGTTCTAGTATTTACGGGAATCATGGAGTTTAATATGTCTTGGCGTCTACATACGTTATACAGTTATGTCTTACTGAGCTTCATTGCTCTGATTGCTGTGACGTGAGATGGAATAAAAGCTACTTTGTTATGGTAACTGTGCATGTGCGTAGAAAGGCTAAAAATCAGAGGCAGTCATTGTGCCCATGTTCAGAATATCGATTACTAGATCTGCATTACTCAATAACGTGGCTAATTTGCATATAGCTACCATGACAACTGATGTGATATCCAAGTTGTCTTTTAATATTTTCATGTGGTTTTTTTCAGGTTAACCCCCACAAAACTATCGCGCTTCCGTTTTCCCAAATACGCCCGCGTGCCAGTGCCCGGGTTCAGTACAGTATTAGATCATCAAACGAAAGGAGAAGGTCGTTCTTATACACATTTCATAGAGGGCGCCATTTATTGCCATTTCATATGCATCACCTTCGGTTTCATCGATGTTATTCATATTGTCCATACCATAATAAGCAGAATGACCAATGCCAATGAGAATAATTTGGTAAATACATATTATTCTAGATTCTTGCGCCCACCCTACCTATATAATGTATGCAAAAATACGTTTTATCATTCATAAACAGCGTCGTCTTATCGTTTACATATTGGTTCTTTGGACATGCTGGTGAAAATAACATCTTGTACTAAGATACTTCGAGTCCACAATTTCAAGCAAAAATTGTATTCCGATTAACATAAAATAATAAACTGAAGGACTCGAAAGGACGTGAATCCGGGCCTGACGTGCGTGTCTGATCGTGTCACAGGTAATGGGATATTAAATCATCCATTTCACAAAACAAATACTAAACTCAGATTTAATTTATTCATCTATATCTGGCACAGAAACACGTGAAATGTACATCACAAACATTAATCGGTACACCGCAAAAATTTCGAAATCACAGTCATTCAGATTATTGTAAATGCAAAATATACATTTGAATTACTAAATAATATAACAGTGAAGTTTTACCAGTACAAGGTTTAGTTGTTGCTAATTACACACGTTGAACTCTATCACAAATGTGTAAACAATTAAAGTTTTAAAAACACACTCAAGCTTTACAATAAAAAAAAAGACTTGGAATAAAACGTTCCCGGAATACGTCATCGAACTCCCTAAATAACAATGAAATATCAATAACGCACACATCACACTGTAAACGTTTGCATTCAGAAAGAACTTCAATCCCACTCACTTGCAGTTCTGCCATGTACGATTCTGGTGGTTCAATTCAGAGATTAGCCGATAAATAAAACTAAAAATATTAGGTAATGAACGAGTGGAGCGCCAAACAATGAAAATATTATCGCACGCATGACAATATGCTTATCATACAGGAGCACAAAACTTCCGTAGACTAATTTACAAGCGGAAACAATCGGCGTAATTCATTTTGAATTCTTAGCATACAAAACACAAAAATAAAATATTAAAGTCATGACAATTATTTTAATCGAATTAATAATTTACAGTAAAAAAACGAAGCGAATTTCTATCTCTTGCTCTAAAATTTGAAATGTATGAGACACGTCCGACATGTTGTGATTCATTTCAGAACACTTTGATGTTGTCAGTTTCCTATTGTGTCCTGACAGAAACACAACTGCGACGAGCGCCACCAATATCTGGTTATATACGAATTCTACGTCTTTAAGTGCGTTTTATTAGAATTCTGATCATATACTCAATTGGCATATTTTATTTCGTTGTAATCGTGGCGCCATCTTGCCCCTCGGCTTGGAAAGACTTGCCTTATATGGGGCAATCTTATCCTAGGATGCACCGAACAAACACATCCGAGTTACAGGACAACTCGATTATTTTCGTCTTGTTTTATAGTGTCGTAAGAAGGAGGCCTACTTGCACTCATGATAGTAACAGTTGTCATAGGAACCATGTTCAAGTGGCCGGATGATTCATTGCTTCTGAAAACAATAGGTATTTCCGGTGATGTGACGATTCGAAGCCGCTGTAAAAAATGAAAATTGGTGGTGAACTACTTGTAGTTGGTTGCTGCTTTGTTAATCACGCACGTGAAAGTGAAAAAAGCGATCTGTTCTTGGTTCAGTGCGCGTGTTATTTGAAGAGGTCCGCTCATGATTTTTTCCCCCTGATTTTTGCCAAAAATACTGTAAAAACAGCCTAAAAATAGAAGACAAAAAGCCGCTTAACCGCATAATTATTTTGAGGAACATATCGTAACCAAAAACAAAACTCTTCTGTTGAATTTGTTGTTATCAAAGTGAATCGTCATTGAATGCCAATCACAGTAATGTCATTTTTTTTTATTCAATATAAGAAAAAACACGCAGACAAATTAGGTTATTAAATTAATATTTCGCATAAAACCCCTTCCGATGAATATTGACAGGAAACTGTCAGAGTTATGTTTCAAAAGCACGTGCCAATTCAGTAAAATTGGAATCTAATCACGAAGTCTTACCTCTCGAAGCGTTCCCGGCGTGATTGCTATTTTGTAGATTGCATATCCGGGTATCCATACCATCGACGATAGCGCTAACAGCCAGCCAATAAACTCACCCCATATAGGATAAGTGTAATCGTCACCATACGTAACCCTCTCATATTTTATGAATGAAAATAAAAATACACCCTGTGGATATGAATACATAATATATTAAATAGAATTGATACGGGAGCATCGAACTGTTAGTACCGATCGAATATACCAACCGAGATTATTTCCACTGAGATGCGTTGTTCAGATTATTGTAACTTAATGTGATCGTAAAATAAATGAACAACTCACTAATACGAGAGTCGGGGTTATGAAAGTCCAACATATCATCCAAAAGTAATTAGGTCTGAATCCTATCATGTCTTCGATGGCATCGTAGAAACGTCGGACACCAAATGCCCATGATATGGCGATGGTTTCAAAGAATACCAGAAATAGCAAACTGATGCCGCTAGCGGAATAGTAGTCCATCAATTGAAAGAAGTACATACCGCCCTGTAAAATATAAAAACTTTAGTGATAATGGGATATGTACGCGACCCCCGTATTATTATAGCATATAAACTTAGTCAGTCTCGATGCCACTGCACGATTCATAAATACCAGTATCCGATTGAAAGAACAGACTGTAAATCATCGCTCTGACCTCTGTAATGCACGCCAGTCCCAATAAATATGACACTGCGGCGCATGCTAGGATGAACAATGCTCGATGTTTTCGTAACACTTTGGGATATTCGTCAACCAGTGCCGTTATGAATCCTTCCATTGTGCAAAACTGTTGGTCGTAAACAAAATCAAACATATTTAAACTGTTTGTACCCTGCGATTTCATTGGGAACATGATTACGATTGCGCAATATGACGCAATATTTATTGTTTTGCCGTATATACGCAGCGTAAAAGCGATATAGTAGCATGGTGAATAAAAACATATATACAGGCGGAGCATACAAATCATGGGCATTTTTTATTACACTACAGCGACGACGCAATAATTTAGATGCCGATTTCCTACATATTCACTCACGTGACACCAATTCAATAAGATCTAATACGTAATAATGATCTAGCCATGGCTATCTATATGTTCTCTATAAAAACGATATTGTGAATTGAGTCTGAACATAAAACTCTCCCTGTCCAGCATGTAAAAACAGTAAAATTTGTTAATATCGTTAGCGTATCACGTGTTCTTAACAACGATCTGCTCGTAATCATTGATTTCTTTAATTAGTGTCATTAAGTCTCATTGCATTCATCCTTTCAGATTTGCTTTCAACTCGAGCCGAATGTAGGCTTGTTGCAGAGGTCGAAAAAAGAAGCTTGGCTTAACGAACCGCGAAGAAGAGGCTGCCTCGGTCGATCTACATAGTGAACCGCACCGTAGTTTCTAATCAGTGTGTATACTCATCGTTCATAAACTGAATACTAAGAAGTTACGATGCACTGTATTATTGAATGGATATACTGTCCGACGTGCCCCACATCAGACGTGCGCTTTTTTTCTTTTCCTTTTTTTTTTTTTGCTGATATTATTACTATCTTAGACAAAGTCTACGTGCACATGTTTAATTACTCACTAATTCACGGCAAACTACGTACACACTATTCTGTGTATCTCAGAAAAACGTGATGCGCCTCGTGGAGGAACTAGTTTTAGAATAACAGCAAGGTCGCAGAGCGAGTTGCTGAAAGAGACATCGACGTCACGCACGTATTGTCCGTGGTTTTAATTGCAATGCACAGTCGAAGCGGTTCGTCATAATAACTTTGGGTAAAATGTTTCAAATAGATACACCTGCTTCGGATAATTTTACTTGTAATTATAAATAATCTCTAGTGTCCTTAACGAGTGATCAAGAACGAAATATCTCCCAATCCGATCCGTAGCCGAAAACCGTTACAGTATCACAGGAAATCATGAGTTCAGCAATATGGCGCCACCATATGTCAGGAATAAGGTGGATTATATCTTGTCATGTACATAGATATCTGTCTAGATTTACTTCTAACGAACATGTGACAGGATAATTTGTACCTGGCTCTAAACATGGACATGTGTCACCGCAAATGCGGCATCGAACTTCACTCTCTCGAATCATACAGCGCAAATCATAGCGTCGTTCTGAACCGGCGGCGTATTAGTTATGTGGTCACATTCGAACAATAATTGTTTGCAACATTCGCATCCTGTAAATCCGACGTTGTAGTCGACCAAGTCTCATACTTCATATGTGCGGTATGAATAATTATCTCAAACTATGTACATTTCAACCTCTTTGAATAAATCTAAATTATTGAGGCAATTGATACGAACACAATGAGAAAAGCTTCCCATTTGATTACGTTGCCATTGTTATCCAGCATAACGTAACATTGACGTTAATTACATCAAATATATCAACAATATATACAAAAAATCCACCTGATAATATTTCAAATTATATTTGGTCCCAAAAAAACCTTATTACAATTTCAATTTAGTTGTTCCTTAACTGCCCGGGACATACCTGACTATCGAGTCCTAACATAAGAAGCATAGAGAAAAACAGTATCGACCATAGTGGAGATATTGGTAACTTTACTACAGCGGATGGATATGCCATAAAAGCCAGTCCAGGTCCTTTTGGAAAAAAATAATAACACATAATGAATTTAAAATATATTTTCTAATATAATTATTATAATAATTATTATTATCGATGACTTAAAGATGCAATACGGATGAGAACTTGTAATATAGTTCGATATTGTAGGTCGATGAATACATTGGATTATCATGAACTAAACAAGTTTTAGCACACAGTTGAATATTTGTGCGACGAAACAATGAAATTATGTATTACGCATGGGCGCTGATTATTTCATTTCTTGCAATAATAACCAATTCCCATGCCCATTCGTGAATTTAAATTTCCTTCGAACGAAAACTATACAGTAACCTTCAAATACAACGTTTAAATTTCATGACAAATCTTAATCCAATTTGATCTGTGTCAAACAGCAATCTTCAACTCGCCATTATTGAATCCAATAGTTTGTCAGATTTCACGTTTACCCAGAATTATGATGCTCATCGAACCACATGCACGTGCCAGCTAATTTGTTTAAGACTTACCCTGATCAACCACATCCTTTACCTCTTTATCTTGGTCATGCGCCATAAACCCAATCACGGCAAACAAAACGAAACCGGCCAAGAGACTAGTGGCGCTATTCACACATCCCACGATCAATGAGTCCCTGCAAGAGGAAGTACATATAGTAATAAAATCATACGAATGAAAAAATAAAATCAACTTGCAGCTAAGTGTGTTGTCATTATGACACGTGATGCTGTGCGTGCATAGTACACATTCCTGAAATTGATCTCTTGTGTATTGCAATAAAACAGAACGTAATTGAACAATTGCTATTAATGTTATGACTGTCGTGAGATATTAGTAGAATGCTCTCAAGAAATGAATGTCCTCGTTTTATTGCGAAAACATCGCTCACTCGGAATACAGAAGAAACACGCAACATTGCGCGTGTTAGCACGCGTCATCGTCCCCTTGACACAAACATCACTGTATCGTGTCGTTTGCTAATCAGGAAACAGCGATATTTTCAAAACATGGCAGCATTTTTTTTTATTGATTGATTCAACCACAAATCAATGAAAATTAACAAAACACGGATTCGTGAAGTTGTGAAAAACGTATCATATGACTGTGCAAACATTGTTCGTGATACATTTACTCATGGAAATCGTGAGTGAACGTGAATTAACCTTAAACATATATTGTCAATAACACTTCTGAGTTTACAATTACTGCCAAGAAATATATAATAATTTATTAATATCGCATCGTTTTTTTCAGGGCGTTGGCAATTATCTGCGATTTTACCATATATATGTTTTAAATTATTTATTTCTAGCAAGGCCTGAATATAGAGTGTAACCAATGTATGCGCATGTGTGATATTAAGCGTAGCAACACCAAATACGGTAGGTACGTTTCAATGATTAACATTAACATTCAGGCATGTAAAAGTCGTGCAACATAAAACAGACCAATATATAAATGTGCACGACACACACTGTGCACTACATGCCAACTGTTGTTTACAAATACAATTTCTTTTTCAACGTCTTGTGTACGATATGTTGAAACGGCGGGTGAACCGGTAGTTGTAATATTTGGTCGCCAATATTAAATATACTTCTTAATACAAAACGTTATTTATTAATTAAGTTAATTATAAACAAAATAATCAATTTTTTTTATAAATATTAAAGTTAAAGGCCACAAAGATACAGTGATGTCATCTCTATAAGTGGTTTAAATCAAATGAAATGTGACTTCAATTATGACTTTTGATTTTTCTACTAATATACTACTAAACAATATGATAAATTAAAGTTAAGCATTAAGAACATAAAATGCTGCTAGTCGATACAAATACATATATATATATTGATACGATTCGACCTACTGTTAAGAACAAGACTCGTGCAAAACTGTTCTACATTTAAGATGACATTATCAATATTTGTCGAATTCAGAGGATATATTTGGTAAACAATTTGTGTTCCCTTGCTGGCTGATTTAATTTTTTATTCCCATGAAGGTGAATTTCTACAGAAATTAGTTAAACACAAAAGGTACAAAAAAGGTAAATCCTTTAATTTCATTTACAGATGTATTGATGTACTTTCCATTAACCACCCCGAATTTAGTTAGTATGTTCCAATGATATAACCAGTTGAACTTGAGATGGGAATGACTACAGAATCTGCTTCATACTTAGATATGTGCCTAGAATTTGATTTTAAATCATTTTAGTTTTACTACCATAAATTTTCTCATGCCTTTGCGGCAATATCCGACTCTCTTCCACAAATTGGGTATATATTTCCCAACTTGGTGGCTATGCTCGTGGTTGTAATACATATGCGGACTTCTAAAAATACATTCGTTTAAACTATTAAAGCAAGGGTTCTGCAGAGAGCGACTAGGCTCAACAATCAAAAAGTTTGTTGGCAGATACAATGAGCTTGTGGTTAAATACAATACCACTGTTACAAAGATGATTTTAGATGACACCAATGTCACTTGCCTGATGTTCCAAACAGAAAACCATTTGATTACGATTCAGAAAGATATATAGTGAGTTGAGCAGGACGTGCCTTCTCTATTCGAAACACATGATATCAATTTATGCATACCATGGAATCCATATATCTTTTTCTTACTGATATGTTTGTAATGTATTTGTTTATGTATATTATTTTTACACAGTAGTTTTACCGTTAGAAAAATTTTGAAAATCAGTCCGTACACCAGTTAACCTACCTGTAGCAATTATTATGATATGGATTGTAGCTACCCAGTGCTACAAGCGATCCAAGACCAATACCAAATGAGAAAAATATCTGTGTCCCCGCGTCGATCCAGACCTGTAAAAGTATTTTTCGTAAGTATCGCATCTTCCCCTCGCGGCCTCCAATGTTTATGTTGAACAGTTCCATTTATTTCATGTATACTAGTGAAACAAATATACGTACATCATTTATAGTCTATTCTAGAACTGTGGACAGAGAACACGTAATGAACCTTACCTGCGGCTTGAGCAGCTGTTCCCATTGTGGCGTTATGTAGAATATAACTCCATTGAGAGACCCAGGCAGCGTGGCACCGCGGATAAGAAGGACAAATAAGACAAAATACGGGAATGTCGCAGTGAAGTAGACAACCTAGCAAAGTAGATCAAATGTTAGTGTCCTTGATTTAATTGATTGATTGGCTACAGTATTGATTAATGCAATTGTTTGATCAATTGATTGACGATTGAATGCGAGCAGTGAAACCATCATATATGGATAGCGATGACTTGCACAGCGTTTAGCGAGGAGCTTTGATTGCGACACACTTAAGTCGAGAAGACGGGGAGTAAAAGATACATTGTAATTCGCAAAGCGAATCACCGCTGACACGATCGCATGGTATGTTCAATTGTGTGCTGTTTGAAATTAGTTTTTATTAATTATCGTAATATCACTTAATTATGTAATAATACACATACTATGTAATATCACAATATTGCGAGATGAAAGGTGTTGGTGTCATTATTTAATTAAGGTGAAAATCAATATATGCATTGTACATGTATCGCGTCGTAATACCGATTTAGATTTAATTATGAATAGTCGTACTGTGAACTCACAGACTAAAATGCAACTATTGCTTCATCTTCTCATTCTCAAAATATCGCACTTCTTGACCAGCAATACACCGCCCACAATTCGATTGCACAATAATACATTTAGGCAAATAAAACAGGACTTGTATGCAAGGGCAATATCTCAGTCTCACCTTTCCAGTTTGTTTTACTCCTTTCCAAATACAGAAATATGTTAGACACCAGGCAAGGAGAAGACACAGAGCAAGTTCCCATCTAACAGTCCCTGATTCGTGGATGCCATCCGTTATCTTCAATACACCACGCCTGGAATAAAACGACAGCTAAGAAGCATGAATATCTTATAAACAAGCAAGCATGGAATGGTACGACTAAATTTAACCGATTGTAAAATGTTGTACATTTCCATATTGCGCCTGTTCTACTAGAAGTTGACCCTCTTTACGACCATTATGTCTTGAAATATATACGAAGCGCTAAAAATCCATATTTGGTGGCCAACTGTGACGTAATAGCACTTGTAACAGGACTTATATCGCGTATTAATTGTTGGCATATAACTTCAAATCTTCCAGAAATCTGTGTCTGAACCACGGACCTGGCCGTTTGGGATGCATGCCATACCGCAAGTGAATATCGAGTTGTCATCTTGCCTAGTACCAAGGCCTTCTAAATAGTATATGTGCGGTCAATATAATCATTGTTTGTGCGAGTTTCATTCTTTATTCGATTTTAAGCTCTGTCGGAATTAAATAGATGCGTGTCATACAAACATATCAGGAACAAGAGTCCTCGATCACGGGAATCACAGGAACACGAATTTTTCCACTTTTCCTTTGAAATACGGATTTTTGTGCAAATTTATTTAGAACAATGATGCTAACTGGTTTTGAAGAGCTTCTATTCACGATTAACGACTCCCATCACTAATTCTTTCAAATGATTGATTCTATGAGTCTGCCGTAATTCAACAATGGCAATACATTGCAAAATTAATCCGTATAATCTAGTATATTCGTTGCTCCCTCTGACATAATAACACTCCCATGCAACCACCTTTGCATAACTACGTATTGAGTCCGTTTAGGTCGTGTTGCTTTCAACGTGTAGTTCCAGGGAATACGAATAAAGGTGACAACTCATGCCGCCGCTTTGTACGCGTAAAAGGTGCGCACAACTTGAAAGTCTGCGTTGCGAGGAAAACATGGAGAACACCTTGTTATCTGGTGAGCTATAATCACCCTGATACAATCAATTGCATTTTTTTTTTACAAATTATAAATTTGAGCCGCACACTTTATCTAGCCGAGCAGTTCGCATCAAATATTGTAGGATTTCTGTCAACGATGAAGATTTTATCATTTGTGTGTGACAAGTTACACGTCTCAATTACTCTTAATCAATGTTTGGCGAGTCTGGTAAACAAATCAGAATCGCTGGTGAGTCACATGACAAAAAGGCATATCCATAGGCAAACTATATCTATTGTGAGTACGTGACATTATGCATTGCTATACAATTGTCGCCATTTCTACACTGGGGATCAAAACCTTAGGATATCGCGAGATCATTACGTATTTCCTTTTCTCTTGGAGCAAACGTTTTCTCCGACTCGCGGCTTGGTGTATAGTTTGCAACTCATCCGTGGCGAGACATGTTCACTGAAATAATCGCATTGTGGTTTGAACTGTATTGACAACGCGAACCAGATTATAATATCTAGTACATGGATCACGTGTAAGAAGTGGCGCCGACGTATTATCAATATCCTCGTCACCGTTTTCTCAAGTTCTAGTTAAAGATAAAAGTAGTCTCGATGACGTTAAAGATGAGCCCTTAATATTATATACCATAAAGGGCTGTAGACAACAAGATTTGTATTTTTCCGCTGAGTAAATGTTAAACTGCACTACACATCCACTTTGCAATGAAACACACATTTTTGTGACATATCTGAAACCGTTTTGCAATAGATTTGTTTGTATATAACATTTTTTGCTGATGTTAAAAATCATTCCAATAACAACAAAAATAACACTTGATAAAACGAGAAGCCAAAATATCGAATTCTCACACACCTCCAAAACTCTTCAACTGGAGAAACCTTCAACGATTCGTTGATGTAAAATTCAGTCGTTGCATTAACAGACGAAAGTGTCGCGGCGATTTGATAAGTGCCATTATCAGATACAATTTGTTCGGCAGCACTGTGCGTGGACTGGTTGGTCAATACACTGAACAGTGTCTCATTTACCGCGGGGTTCGCTGCTTCATTTATTTCTGTTGTTGTTTTCTTCTTACTGTGCAAAAGTGTTTCGTCACAGTAGATGGTGTTCCACGGGTGAGAGCACGTCTCCCATGGCAGCTTGCTTGCGAACGAGGCAAACAAGTAATATAGAGTCCAGGCGATGATAATAATGTAGTATATGTCCAACAAACCGGATATGATAACTGCTGCATACCCAACACCTGGAAAGAAATGTACAAGGTTTAGTTGCGCTACGTATACATTTGTGTTTGTATGTAATATAAATACGACTCGCAGGTTGAGTATAATCTTATCGCATCGCCCGACGGTCTTGCATTACACATAACCATGGCTGACGCCATAAAATCATCCGCACGGGTTAAGAGGTCACTCTATCAGTACCAAAGGGAGACCAATGACGTCATGTATATTACACGCATGGCAGTGTGTAGGTTACGGGTTGTCCATCACGGGGAATTGTTCATGTAGTGATAATACGGATATAGTGATAACACGTATCGTCACTTGAAATCTATCTGAACAACTCAGGTCTACGGAAAAGCTGTATTTAAAAATAAACCGTTTTTACAGTAACAAAATACTCTTTCTCTTCGGTTAAAGATTAAAGTACGCACTCACCTTTGAACACAGGGCACAATTTCCATATTCCGAGTCCGCCGATGTTGAGAAACTGGCCAATCGAGACTTCAAGGAAAAATAGCGGAATTCCAGCAAATGCCCAGAACATAAGATACGGTATAAGAAACGCACCTGCAATAGCACAGAAAAAGAAGTGAGTTTCATGAAAGCGCTGTCACAAAAGACCAAGCGCAATAATAAAGCAATGGAATGGTAAAAGTGGTTCCTTTAATTAATATATACTATATAATAAAGACAGTAACTTCGACAGATCTGCATACAAATGCGGGCAATTGACTGTTATTTGGAGTTAATGTGTTTCGCTTTTCTTATCTGTGCCTCCGCTCTGCACTTAATGGATGAGTATTTTTGGTTGCAGTTTTTAGCCGGCTGAGTCCACGTCTTTGTAAAGGTTGCCTGCGCAAAGCATTGTCTGGTTTCATGTATAATTAATATTACTAAGTACGCATGTCTTAGTGATTGCTGCAGGGTTTTCAAACCTGAATCGTAAGTCTTACTATCAAAATATTTGACTCCGTTATACTTTATATTATCTGTACAGTTCAACGTACAAGATCACATACACATAGTAGATTAAATCGCCTCAGCAGGAAGCGTTCTCTCAGTGATGTTAAAAAAGAACAGTCAGTCTACTTTTTAGGCAGTATTACGTCATTTTCTAATTGAGAAAATACTTTCAGCGGACGCTGAAATGGACCGATAATTAAAACCACTGTCCTCCTATTAATTTTCATTAGAACATTGCAATTTATTTCTTTTTAAGATTCTTAGGATTGTTATAACCTTGCATTCAACCTTTGGAAAATTTGCATATCGAAAGTTTCACTGTATTTGATTGGGTGATCGAAATTAAATTGTACTCTTGTGATCAGATATTAATTCATTGCATTTAAGTGATAAAAGCCATACGATTCAAATATCACTATTTTATTATTTCACACAATTCCCTCGATCGAAATCTGATTGAAAAAAAGGTTTTCACAGAGAAACATCGCTCACCAAATCAACCTTCCACAGCCTGAGAGCACTATCTGCTACTTGATTTAAAATAAAAAATTGAAAAAAGTGTATGTTTTATATGATTTGCTACACCAAGTACACATCGTAAATCGGTTGTGTTCAGAAGCGCTGGGTGACAGAAGGACACAATATCTCAATTCTACCCACTATGTAAACGCATTGTGTACTCTAATACAACTCAAGCAAAATTATAATTTAACTTATACATTTCGAATTGTTAGAGGGGGTACCCTTTTTCAAGTACGTATAGTAAAAATGAATACGTTCTGGGAACATGGTTTGAAAGAAATAATCTAACAAATTTGTCATAACATATTTTAATATTATATTTTCAATTCGAATGCTTCCTTTTATTTTCTGGATAAAAAGTCAGAATTGAAGAGAAAATGTTCTCAGTGTTTGATTGAAATATACCACGAGTGGTAATTCACGACGTTTCCTCTTGAAATGAACTCAAATCTTTGATGGTGTACAATTTCACAAGTGTACTAATTTCACAACCTTGAAGATTGTGTCTATTGTAGTCGCTAAAGATGCAGGATAACAACTAAACAAATGAATGTGAAAAACTACAGACGGGGAATTGATCTTACGTCAAAAAGCTTGAACACACATCCTTTGAATGCGGAAAAGTGGACCTTCCCGATTTGGACATGAATTAATTCTGTTACTTGATTACCAACAATTTATCGAATTATACATTTGAACGAGACAATGAAATATGGATCTACGGAAAGGTATTTATTTACGTGACAATGAAGGTATAGATGACACTATTATATTAAGAATAAATGAATGAAGACGACAGGCGTACAGAGAAATGCGAAACGAAGACCAAGGATGTCTGATCACTAATTGTAGGAAGACAGTCAAATTCACATTGATTGAAATGTATATGTCAATAAAGATGTTCGGTAAAGTTTCACCTTTGCGATGTGCGCACGATTGGGTGCACATTCACCGCTAGTTCGAATATAGGCTCGTACGAGGTTATAGTTTAAAATAACTAGGTTACCTAGATGGGGGGGATAAACGAGAGGATGGGAGAGACTGAAATACAGTCTTTGAGAAGCTAAAACTGGTCACGTGGGTTTCTCGCATTCAACGAGATCTCGGCGGCTATTTTGCGAGTACGTTATATTAGGCTACTAATTCGTTTCAAATAGCTGGTCTGAATATGCCAAATACACGTAATAAATATGATTTAATCCGCATTATGGTAAGTATTCATTCTTTTTATTACTAATGGTTAATGTTTACTGATGCTTATGTTATCTTGAACGTGGTCTTCGACAAAGACACAAATAAATAATTTACCTGGGTAGGAACATCAGATGGAATATATGAAATGACTACTTCAATTACCAGGAATATCCGCGTCATTGATTTTATTTATCAAAGTAATAATTTCGTCCCTCACTGAGTAAAAAAGCTGTATATCTAAGATTTAATATTATATGTACCTTCCGCACACGCGTGGAAATCGTCCCTTGAAAAGAGCTTAATGATTAACGTGAAAGTGGGAGTTATTATAATATTGGTTCTGATGAATCATGTGAATATTTTAATAAATAATTTCATATATAATTAGCAGTACGGTAACTGTGAATTTAAACTGTATATCCAGGGGTGGCGGCACGAAATTTTGAATGGGCCGAGATCTGCTCACCATCCCTTGCGCCCCGCAAGTGGTCGCGCATTTGTTTCGGGGGAGACTGCCCTCCCCCTCCGGTGCCGCCGCCACTGATATCTCTTGAGTGATTTAGTTATTAGTTTCTGATATACCAACAATTCGTTGGATATCATTAATTGGCGCATTATTATTAATTGGCATTGGCGCAATTAAAATTGTTGCACAAATTGAACAGCACATTTTGTACTGCAAATTGTATGTTTGAATTTTCATTTATACATTTATACTAGTATTCAGTATATTAAGTTTTGTTCCGCAAGTATTCTTCAAACTACGTGGATTGTATTAAATTTTGTCTGAATAATTGTGTATCAATAACAACAACCTTTCAACATACTTAATACTTACTTAATATGTAATTGTCACTCCGGCTATAAACTAAAAGATATATTTTTCATAATTTGTTGTTTTTTGGCTGATGGTTCCAATATCACGTGCGTTGTAAATCAAGTTGGAACTAGTTGAATCTTGTGTCAATAAAATGGTCGAAGCAATATCTGAACAATACATATACACTAATATAATAGGTGACACGTCTAATCAATATGGATGGGCACGGGTAAATAGGTCAGAAAAACAGTCGAATTCAAATGTTCTAGGGGCAATTTCGATCCGGTTTTTATTGTATACTCAACTTGTCAGATATTATTGAATACACCATAGTTGAAAGAACGTTGCGTAGAGGCGAATTCCGACAGTATGATTCAGATGGTATACGGATTTGACGTTCGATGGCGTATGCGGGTACAAATAGAATTAGTTGTATTAATATAATAATTTCTGTCTCGTAGATTTCACGCGAACTAGTAATTATTTCAAAGAATATTACTAGAAAAACGAAATTATCACCAAAGAAAAAAAAATAACTAACAAACCAATCTCCGAAGAAACAAGAACACGGTCAATAAACGACTCTACATTCGTTATGTTCATTTTACGCAGATTCCAATGATAACCCCCCAAAAATATGTCTAATAATAGACCAGCCGAAGTGTCGGATTGTTTTGATGTTCTGAAATAAAACGATTTCTACGACACCGTTACTATGAAATGCCGGTATTGATTGCAAGTTGTATAAGGTACAAATCAATGTAACTGCTCGTTATTGGAATATACCGCGGACTCGGTGAAAAGAAACTGTCGACAATAAAACCAATGTACTCTATAATTCGAAGCATGACAATCATTCGATTATTACTTATACCAGTATATAGTATTGCTGTGAAAAGCCGTCACTGCATGTGAACTAGGATATTGAGAGGCTCTTACAAGTGATTGTGGTCTACCGGAATGTATATTAGTTTTCCCGACGATATTTATAACAGTACAGTGCGATCGACTATTCCATTGAGAAACTAAGAACGGCAAGGAAATGTCTATGTTCGTTAAGCTGCCTCGAGCGTTCGAAGGCAGACGACGCGCAGATAAGCAAATTATACAAAAAGCTCATCATCATGGGTGCGTCGATCGATTCTGATTTGGTCGTCTAGTAGCTAATATGATTTATTTACAAATGGCGGATGAGATCTCGAAGAGTTCGAGAGAGCCACGTGACTTGTTTTTCCCCTTCAAATAGCGTTTCAATTTTCCGCCACCATTGCAGAAGAGGATACGCACTGTTTCAGGGCGCACAATATATCACGTGGCTCTCTCACGCTCAACGAGATCTCAGCGGCCATGCCCGAATGATAGTAAGGCCTATAGAACTTGTTCGTGAATCTTAAAATTATAGAAGGCACGCAAATTAGAACAGAGCATATTTAAGAGTCTTATTTCGTTCGTCAACCAATGCGTTCAGCCATCGTGCAGTCAGTCAAATAGAAGAATAATTGAAGTGCAAACTCCCTGACTGCAAACGTTTTTGAAGACAAAAATAATCGCCAAGATCGACAAGTGCTGGAAAACATTTATAAGCAGAACAATATTATTTAAATTGACATCGCTTCCTATGTGTGATTAACATGTAGTCAGCTTTTCTCTTCTTTGACATACCATGAGACAGTTAATATCGACAGTGCGTCTTTCGTGGTGAAGGCTCACGTGCCTACTAAGGGAAATGGGTACAATGATAATGAAGTCAGATAGTTAAATAGATAGTTAAGCCATCTTCTTATTCTAGTGAGACCTCGCACGACAACGGTATCGAAATATCAGAAAACACCGTCAATGGTCTGTCACATTTGACAAATGGTGAGTTATTGACTACATTTGTGCTGCACGATACAACGCATTGCATTATGGGTAGTGTGTGTTATTTTAGCGAGCTCTCGCGAAAAGTATCGGAGCGAATATACTCTACCATCATCTCATCGATGATCAACCAAAACTAACCCAGCGTCTGAGGGTATTCATTGACTACTGTTCATGTCATCTGAACATCGTATTTAACTACTTGCTGGTTTAAACATCATTTGTAATCTCACATAATGAGAGAGTTCAACATTGACCTATGATCTGTGCCGTGAGATGACACTTAAAGCCAGACTCATGTCAGTGTACATTTCTATTAATTGCACGTTTCGGCATACAGCATGACAAACAAAATGTGAGCATAATATGGTCTTGCTAAAATTACTATTATTTTGGCACCTTAGAAAACCTGTCAGATATTTTTTTTTCTGTGTAAGAAATTACTCGGTACAAAGTACAAATACCTTTCGTAATTAGGTAGGACAAAATTTTCCGGCATTGCCTGTCGGGAAATGTCTGTCAGCGGGGGATATTGCTTTGTTAAAATTACCACAATTACTAGATATGCCTTCACGGAAATAAATGGTATAAAACTGTTTGAGCAGATGACCTCGAATTCTTGCACATCTCGCCTCAAAACAAGTTGTCACAATTACTCAGAACGTGTTGTTAGGATAAGAACTGGCAATGATGTGTGCCACAACTGTGCTTCTCGATAACTTTTATAACTGTGATTGACGGTTAAATTGTGTTAGTATTCAAACATTATTGAATTTTATTCAAGGGTACATTTTGTATCTCTGGGAAACAGTGTTAAATTTATGAATAATCCGTAAATGTATTACGCAAATGTTGTTTAAATAAGTCTCTGAGTACTAAAAGTGTAAAATAAAAACTAAAATTACTACTACTATACTCCCTGACAATGGGTTCGCAGTCGAGGTAGACATTGGAAAGCAAGTAAATAACACCGAATAAGCGGCATGGTAAAATACTACTATGTCAAATCAAAGTACAAAATGTAATAATTTGACATAGCATTTCCCGTACCGTTTATTCGGTGTCATTTACTTGCTTTGCTTTTTGTGTCATCAGTCGCTACCGTGAGTTTACAATATTTGAATATTATTCTAAATGTACTTAAAACTTAATATCCATGTTCATACAGCGTAAAGCATAATGATTTTAATACCAATTAGCGATAATAATATTTACCACCAACACATAAATGTACCGGCAATGGTACCGAGTAATGTCATGTTCCTCGGATATGCATTGCAATCTGACGAGGTAACTCGTACTATTGTCGACTCACTTTTATCTCGGCTTCGTACATCAAACACATAAACGCCACACTGCGCATGTCTCTTGAGTAAGATGGGAGCCCAAACACATGCAGAAAAACCATAATGGCCTATATCGAACTGAGATTATTGAACGCCATAAGTAGGTGTGTTGACTTGAATAGTAAGCACCATGTCAGGCGATTAAATCATTCGCCACCAGACACTAGCCTGTCTATACATGGGAAATGTAAGATACGCGCTTACATCATCTTCATCCCTGGCGTCCATATTATTCCGGACATCATCATAGTAATATGTCCATTTACGCGCATCGGTGATCTTTATTGTGAAATAGCCTTGAAAAGAATGGATATGTACTGCGTGTAGAATATTACGAGAGTCTTGATACAATGACCTTATTAAGGAAGACGTATAATAAGACGTAACCGACCATGAGTGCAGTGCATTGAAGAACAGTGCAGTACAGTACGACGCAACGCATGTTGCAGTGAAGTATGATGCAGTGCAGTGCACTTTTAGTGCAGTGCAGTAGAGTACAGTGTGATATTATACGAATATACAATACAATACTATCTGATACAATACGATCACACACTGTGACATGGAATTTGACGTCGGTTAATACCGTTGCATTCGGTGAATTTGTTTTTTCTCTTTCATGCGACGTGATTTTATGAATGCGCGCGTTACTATTAAGTCGGTGTGGGTCGACAAGCCAACCGATATTATTAGCATGCGTTACTAACACAACCAGTTTATTTTTAAAAAAATAACGCCAAAGATTTGGAATTTTCGCGCCTGCTTCTGTCTACGAAATGCGAAGTGTTCAATGTTACATCGATCACTCGACAAAATAATAATTGTGCATACATATGCCCGATAGGCACGGCTTAAACAACAATTAAGCGAAGCCCTTATTTTGTTATCCAATTTGCAATCGCAAAAACGTTCGCAAATTGGTGATTATAGGACGCGTATTGAATGACAGCGCAAAACATAATAGTATCAACGTGGCACAAACCTCCAAAATACATTTTAGAATTGACTGAAATCACTTTTATATCGTGTTATCAAGAACAAATCGTGGTTTTTATAGCATCACAAACTATGGTTAAGTAAAAATAAGACATTGCTTTGAATCTAATAAACTAAAAATGAATAAGAATTCAGCGTTCATTGACACACCGTATATATACCACGCCCCTTATCTCTGGTCGTAACTAACTACTGAAAAGTATAAAAGGGAAATGGCTTTCAGTATATATGAAGTTGCGTAATGAACGAACAAGACCACACTCCGGAAATTAGAAAAAAGAACTTTTAAAAGTGTTACAATCACATGGAATTAAATTCTTCACGCCATTGTCATATACGAAATTATGTGGTCCAGTGCGCGCATGCGTATACGAGAAGCGTAACCGCGCGTGTTGGAATCCACGCTTCAATTACTGCTTGTAAATAAACTGTCCAGAGCAGTGCAATCGACAACTGCGCTTGAAACGGAACGGGACCATAGTTCAGCGTCTCCTCGAGAACACATACAGAGAAGAGTGTTGGTCACATAGAGATTTGTGATCTTCTGGAAGTACTACACCGGAGCAAATGACGGGGGTTTGTCAACAGTTTTTCGAGACCAATACCCACATAGCTCAACAAATAGTTAACCATATCGACCGCGTAATGATTTGATATGATATGACATTAAATTAATTCCTTGACTTGATAATATAAACAAAAAAAACAGTTTGCTATTTAGCACTCCCCTATAAAAAAAATCACCTCCTACCTCCTCCATTTTTGTAGCAGAGATATGGAAATCTCCAGACATTGCCAAGACCAACAGCAAATCCAACGCACGAAAGAATGAAATCCATTTTGCCGGACCATTTTTCTCTTGTTCCTTCATCGTTGTCTTCATTTTCGTTAACTTGAGTATTTTCTAGTGGGTGTTCCAACGATACATCATTGTGATTCAACACAACAGTGTCGTTCTGTTGATTTTCCTTCGTATTATTCTCATTAACATCGGATGCAGTCACTTTCGACATCGTTCTGCAGATTAATTGCCCTCGAACCGACTTCAAGTTGGGTCTGATTTTCCGAATTCACTAAAAACGGATGGGTGCAAATCGATCTAACAAACGCGATACTTCAAGTGTTACCACAAGAAACTGGATTATTTTGTCATCAGAGAAAGCAAGAGTGAGACGAGAGATAGAGTGAGCGAGGGAAAGAGAGAGCGAGAAAGCGAGTGTGACTAAGAATTCAATCAACAACCAGGGAATGCGCCAAGCAGAAATCCGTTTCTGAGATGCGAAACGCATAAGTCGTACGGCGCATGTGCTGTGTAATGATCATGCTTATTTTCATGTTAATTTCGTGTTATGCCAATCACACGATGACAGTGAAATGCAGAGTATAGCCATCACAAATCGATTAACAAACTCTCGCGATTAATAACAAAATCTAAAGATTCGCCCAATTGACCAAAGCCCCTTTCTTTCTGCCCCTTATCTAAGGATAAGTGCACATTTTCTATAAATATAGAAAGGGAATAAAATGGCAGGGCGTTTTTTGAACTAGTTTTCAAGACTCTGATGCAATCTTTACATTCAACGTTGTTACTGGAATAAATTAAAATAGATACTCCACGACTATAGCATCGATCCAAATTGATGTCGTATCAATGCCAACAACGTGATAGAAATGGACTCACGAAACTCTTACTACACTAAGTAATACAAGAGGAAAAAATACCGAGTCGCCATGGTGATACGACGTATAACAAGAAATAAATTTGTTTCCCGTGTAAATTTGTTATATTTATCTAACATGACCAAGTGCATGAACTAGTTAGTCTCGCAGTAGATTAGGTATTCCCCGAGACGTTTCTAATTGAGTGCCCGAGACATTGCATGCAATTATTACAAGCTATTGACATTGGCAGCCATTCTGACTTTCAGCAACGATTGTCTTGGAGGGCATTATAATCGGAGAAGTCTGTGAGTGTATCGGTTATCGAAAAGACCATGAGTGATAGTCGGGTCAAAATATGAAATATAACAGCTAACCCTAAAAAAATTTATACAACAGGTTTTTCAATTGATTTTGATTCCTCCAGGCATGCTTGGAAACATACTCAAAATCTAGTGAAATCTGACTTCCGAAAATGGGTCATTTTCAAGATGGCGTCCAAGATGGCTGCTGGGAGCTTGAAATGGTTATATCTCAGTTAATAATCAACCCAGAGAGGTGTTTTTTGTGTC